GGAGGGAAGGGGGGGGAGGGAGGGAGGGAGGACGAGGGAGTGGAAAAAAACAGCAACTACAACTCACCCTGGTGGCCCGGGCCGCTCGGCCAGGCGCGCCGCGAGCGCTGCGCGCCACGCCACCTCGCCTCCGCCAGCGCGCGCCGCCGGCACCAGCAGGAGGGCTGCCGCCCGCGGCGGCAGCTCGAGGGCCCAACCAGGGCACGGCCGCGCGGCGAGCGCGCGCCACCGCGGCGCCGAGCAGCCGCACCTGAGGCACGCCACCCACGCGGGGCCCTGCATGGCCGCGTGCGCCTGCCATGCGCGGCCGGCGAACAACGCGCGCGCGGCCTCGCCAGGCGGCGGCGGCGCCACGTCCCCTCCGCGGCCCCCTCGGCGGTTCGGGCGGCGCGCCCCGGAGCCGGCTTGCGGCGGCGCGGGCGCCGGCGCCGCCCCTGGCGCGCCCTGCGGCCGCGGCTGGCGGCGGGGGCGGAACCCTGCAGCAGCCCAGCGCCGGCGCACGCGCGGGCCGCCCGGCCCATGTCTGCCGTGGTTCGCTTTCAGGGCGGCGAGCTCCACTGCCGCCAGCAGCTGCTGCGTCGCAGCGAGTGCTCGCAGCTGGCGGTCCCGCGCTGCGCGCAGATCGCGCGGCGGCATCCGCGTCGCCGCCGCGGCGCCGGCCAGGAGGTCGGCCGCCTCGTTGCCCTCCCCATCCTCGGCACTCACCCCGCGTGCGCGCGCGGCCGCGGCGTCCAGGTGCGCCTTGACCCAGCGCGCCGTCAGGAAGCCGCTGCGGCAATGCGGCGCGATCGCGGCCCAGAGGTCGGAGTGCTGCCACTCCAGGTGGCACGCTCCAGCACGCAACGCCGCGACCCCGTTGCGGACGTAGCGCGAGCCAGTCACCACCTCGACGGGCCGGCCCGCCTCGATGACCGCGCGCGCGGCGGCGGTGACTTCCGCTCGCTGCGCCGTCTGTGCGCCGTCGACGGGGCCGCTGCAGTCGACGGGGCCTGCGCCAGGGTGCTCGAGCCGCAGTCCCCACGCCGCTCGCGCCAACAGGGGGTCGCAAGGGCGCAGGCATGCGCCGTCCGTCCAGGCACGGAGCCGCTGCGGGCGCGGATCCGGTTGCTCCGGGGCTGGCAGAGGGGGCAAAGCGAGCGGCGCGCGGGCCGCCACTGCCATGGCCTCGAGCCGGACGTCCACGGGCAGCACCCCAGAGAGCCTCACGCCTGGAGGCAGGGCGGCCCGGAGCGAGGCCTCCGTGAAACCGGACCCCTGCAGAGCCGTGCCCCGAGCCGCCGCCCACGCTGGGCAGGCCCAGAAGCGGTGCTCCCGGTCCTCGCACGCGGCGCCGCAGTGGGGGCAGGTTGCAGGCCGGCCCCACTTGGCGGCCACGGACTCGGTTATCACGTTGCCCGCGAGCACCGCGCGGAGCGCGCCAGCCGCGTCTGGCGCCAACCGCCCGCTGACGAGGAGGCGCCGGGTGGCCCATCGGTCGACCCCAGCCCCGACGTGGGCGAAGTCGGCTCGCCGGGCGGCCACCTCGCGCGTGCCTCGCGCCGCGCCCAGGCCTCAAGCAACACCTGCTGGGTGTCACGCAAGGCTTTGTCGGCCGGCCGCCACCCGTCTGGGCACCCAGGGACGCCGCGCCAGAGCTCCACCTCGGACCCGAGCCCCAGTGCCGCAAGGCTCCGCGTGGCCGCGGCGATTGGCCCGCACCCGCGCCCATGGCCCGCGGCCATGACCCCCTCCGCCTGCCGCCACAGATCGCGCGGGAACCTGCCTCTGCGGAGCGCCTTTGCCAGCTGCCAGAGCGGCGCGATCGTGACCACGGCCAGGGGGTCGAGGCGCCACGTCGGGCTCAGAACGCCGAACACCACCTCGGCCGCGGCACGCAGCCCGCCCCGGCACACGGCCGCCCGCGCGGCCGTCCGGAGGCCCGCGAGCTCCCGGGCGGGCGGGCGCCCACACGACGCCCCATACAGCCCGGCAGCGGTGCCAGCTGCGGCGCCCAGCAGGCACCGCTGGTGGAACGGCACCGGCAGGCGCCCGACGCGCACGATGCGGCCCCCTGCAACCCTCGCCCGGGCGCCGGCCACTGCGCAACGCCGGGCTGACCCAACATGGGCGACCACGCCCAAGTCGCGGAAGCCGCAGCGGACGGCGATCGCAGGCACCTGGGTGGACAGCCGACGCCGCAGCTCCCTCGAATTCGCGAACAGGCGGCTCTTATCGTGATTGAGTTGCCATCCCATGGCCGTTTCGAACGCTTCAGTGAGCTGCATCCCGCTGCAGACCGCTTCTGCGACGTCGCCCGCCTCGTCGGCCTTGCCGCGGGCCCACAGCGTGAAGTCGTCGACGTAGAGGCGCCGCCGCAATCGGTCGTCCACGGACCCCGTGCGCCGGAACCACGGGTGCGTGAGCACGCCGAGGAAGAACACCGCCAGGGCACAGCCCGGCAGCAGGCCCCGAGCCGGCGACCATGCTCCACCAATGGCGCGCCCGACGCGGACCCGGCGCTTGGCCGTGTACGCCCCCATTGCCGGCTGGGCGATCCATGCAGGCACCCCCGCGCGGGCCAGGATGCCCTGGAGAGTCGCCAGGTCGACGCTGTCGTAGGCCTTCCGCCAATCCACCGCTGCGCCGGCAAGCACCTCCGACAGGGCCTCGGCGGCTTCCAGCTCCACGGCGAGCTCCCACACCAGCTGGGACACACAAACAAATGCACACAGATAAAGGGAATTCCTAAGGTGGATCCTGACGCAAAGTTCGTTCTCCGATGCCTCCTCCGGCCGTCCCCGCGTGTCTGGCGCTTCGCGCCGTCTGCCGCCCTCTCGCGTCTGTGCGTTGGGCCGCCTGGGTCTCGGGGCTTCCCTGCGCTGGGGAGGGTGGGGGTCGCCACAAGTGCACAAGCGTGCCCCCCTATGTGAAGGGGCCCTGGGACACACAAGTAAATACACACAAATAAAAGGGTTCGCCATATTTTCCCGCATTTTCTGGGTTTTCGTCCTCCCCCCACTTCCCATATTTTCCCATATTTTCCTGGGGGTCGACGATTAATTGTGTCTGTGTGTTCCTTCCCCTCCTGATGTATGCGTGCGCGGACGAAGGGGGCGCGAGGTTGCCAAATCCAAGCGCGCGAAAGCAGCCACCATCGCATCGCGCCGAGCGATCGGGGGGGGGGGCCCGGTGAGCCCGCAGCAAAGGTCACTCCGGCGAAGGGTCACTCTTTACGTGTAGTCGATCTGCCAGCTGCGACACGGCGGAGCATCCGCCGACCTTGCCAGCGGCCAGCGCACGATCCCAGAGGTCAGGGCGCGAGGGCGGTGGGCCAGCGACAACTCGGCGACACGCTTTGCGGCAAGAGCGGGCGCTTCGCCGACCAGCCAGCCAAGCTGCCAGACGGGCCCCTCCAGCACGCCATCACCAGCGCCGGGAAGATTGGCGCCATCCTCTGCGAGCGTGGTCCGCCCAGCTGCCCCGATGCGCAGCACGTAGCACGTGGCGTGACGACACGGGGCTCCACACGCAGACCGAGCACGTAGGCCCGACGCGAGACGTTCGCCAGAACGTGGGCCAACACGCTGAGCCGACACGCAGCGTATTGACACCGGACCTTCCCAGACCCCCGACGTCGTGATTTTTTCACGACGTCGACCCCCAGAGGTCCGGACCCCTTCCCCGGGACCGGTTCTTCGTCCTGAGTCGTTTTTTGACGCTCCCGAGGCCCGGGAAGGGCCCCCGGAGGCCGAAAATAGCGAAAAACCTCCCGTCGTGATTTTTTCACGACGCGAGGAGGTCTGGGTTTGGAGCACGGCACGCGCGGCGTTTCAAGACGGGCGGATCGCGAGGCGGCCAAGGCTCTGCCGGCCTGTGCCGCCCCGTGAGGGCGGAGCCGCGGCCCTGGAGGGCTCGAGCGGCTCCGGCAGCCTCGGCCGAGCGTGGAGGCACGCGCGGCACGCCCCAGGGATCGCCGCTTCGGAGTGGGGCCTGCGCGGGGTTCTCGAGTTCTCGATCCTCCTCCTCCTCCTCCTCCTCCTCCTCCTCCTCGAGCCTCCTCGAGCCTCCTCGAGCCTCCTCGATCCTCGACGCGCGGCGCCCCGCCACCCGCACGCTTTTGAGAAAGTTGCCGCAAACGCACTCGAGTCGTAGATGATAGTGTTGATGTGCAGCCTATTGTCCGGCTGTGATCTGGCCGAGTCTGTTCTCTGACCTTGCGGCCCATCTGACCAGTTGCAAGGAAAGAGTGGCGAAGGGTCTTCAGGACCCTCTTGGTGGAAGCCTACCCGTCCAAGTTGCGCGACGCCATAGTTTAGTGCCTCCAGTGTGCGCTGGCCGAGAAAAAAGTCAGCAGAATCAGAACAAGGTGGTGCGGCCGATGCCACTTATGCTTTTGGAGGCACGTCCGTTCTCATGTGACAAGATCTCTGGAGTGGGATCCGCTCGGGGGGCGGATCATCCTCGAGTTTCCACTTCCAGATTGTGGTCAGAGATCGCAGGAAGACCTGTCCACGCCAGATCGAGCTACGCTCTGCCTGGCGGAACATAGGCTGGAACGTTGTATTTTCTGGCACTTCACAAAAGAATGATACGCAGAAGCCCCAAACACGCCGACTCATCACCGTACGGCCGCAGTGTTTCCACGGCCAGCCGCCTGCCCCACAGCCGCCCTCTCCTTTCTTCAACTGCACATCGACGGAGTGAGAACCGCTCGTGGAGCGGAGGCTCTTCGAGTTCAGATTTCCAGATTCTGGTCAGAGAAAGTCGGAAGACTTGTCGCCGCCAGATCGAGCTACCTTTCGCCTGGCGGAAAATAAATTGGAACATGTCTTAGAGAGGTCTGTATATATGTATATGTGTGTATATATATATACATGTACACACATATATATAGTCATACATGTATGTATTGATGCGTGTGCAATATGTAAGTTCTCGCCTCTTATTCCTCGCCCTCCTCCTCCGACGACGGCGACGACGAAGAAGATGGTGATGGCGCGACGACGGCGACAGCCGCCAGCCTGCCAATGCACGCTCGACACCGTCGGCACGGCCACGACGCCGCAGACGAGGCTGGCGACCTCCGCTCGGGGGCGGGCACTGAGAAAGGTATGCTGAGGAGGGAGAGTAGGAGGGGGTCCTCCTCCTCCTCCTTCTCGCCACCTCCTCCTCCTCCTCTTCCTCCTCCTCCTCCTACACCCCTGTTCCTCCTCCTCCTCCTCCTCCTCCTCCTCCTCCTCCTCCTCCCCCTCCTCCTTCTCCTCCTCCTCCTCCTCCTCCCCTCCTCCTCCTCCTCCTCCTCCTCCTCCTCCTCCTCCTCCTCCTCCTCCTCGTCCTCCTCCTCGTTATCCGCATCCTCATCCTCATCCTCATCCTCCTCGTCATCCTCCAAAACAAGTTACAGCCATCGGACATCCTACAACGCCCCCTATCGCAGCTGGCGGGGGGCGGAGGACCACGTTAGCCAGGGCTGGAGGAGGATGAGGACGAGGGCGGGGAGGCGGAGTAGGTGGAGGAGGGGCACGGAGGGGCGGGGGGGGGAGGTGGGCTCGTGGAGGGAGAGAGGAAGGGATGATGATGATGCTGATGACGGTGATGGTGATGCTGATGATGATGATGATGATGCTGATGATGATGATGATGATGATGATGATGATGATGATGATGATGATGATGATGATGATGATGCCGATGGTGATGATGATGATGATGATGATGATGATGCTGGTGATGATGGCGATGGTGATGGTGATGGTGATGGTGGTGGTGATGATGATGATGATGATGATGGTGATGGTGATGGTGATGGTGATGGTGATGGTGATGATGATGATGGTGATGATGATGATGTCGATAATGATGATGATGATGATGATGATGATGATGATGATGATGATGATGATGCCGATGATGCTGATGATGCTGCGTATGATGATGATGATGTCGATGATGGTGATGATGGCGATGATGATGGTGATGATGATGACGATGATGATGATGATGCTGGTGATGATGATGATGATGATGCTGCTGATGATGGTGATTCTGATCATGATGATGGTGATGATGATAATGATGGTGATGATGATGATGCTGATGATGATGATGCTGATGCTGATGCTGATGATGATGATGATGATGATGATGATGATGATGATGATGATGATGATGATGATGATGATAATGGTGATGGTGATGGTGGTGATGGTGATGATGTCCTCCTCCTCCTTCTCCCCTTCTCCTCCGCGCTGTCATATGTGTTCGTCCAGATTATACACCCCCACGCGCAGGGGTTCGGAAACGAGCGTGCCTGCCAGGCCCCTGATGGCCTCGCCCTGCCCCTCCCCTTCAGCCGCCGACATTGTTCGCAAGATGTTCGGGAATGTGCTGCGCTTTTGCTATGGTGTTCGGCAGCTTGTGGCGATGTTCGGAGGCTTGTGGATGTTTCTGGGGAGGGACGACATGGAGAAGGAACGCGAGAAAGAGCAGGAAAAAGAGCCAAGGTCAGATAAGGGCGCTTGGGGTCTCAATGCTAAAGGCTAGGAACAACAACATGGCCCCTGCGTGGGTTGATCTGGGCACCAGACCCTCACACCTTATGAGGGCCCAGCTGCCTGGAGAAGCGGGCAATTGCCGGCTCCCGAAACGTCAGCGGAGGGACCTTTCGACGCGCAAGCGCGTGTCACATGCAACAGAGAGGGACGGGGCAACAAACCCGCTCGGCGCGCATCCCCTCCCGAGACCTGTGCAAGACTGGGAGGAGAAACTCACCGCACACAGGACAGGCACGCACTACTTGGCTACCCGATCGCGCCTTTCGCTGGAGGTCGCCGCGACGGAGCTGAGGCTTCACTCCGCTCCCCCCTTGCCTGCAGAGCGGTTCGCGCGCACCGCCCTCGCCCTCCTCCTCCTCCTCCTCCTCCTCCTCCTCCTTCTCCCCCTCCCCCTCCTCCTCCTCCTCCTCCTCTCCTCCCTCCTCCTCCCCCTCCTCCTCCCCCTCCTCCTCCTCCTCCCTCCTCCTCCTCCTCCTCCTCTCTCCTCCTCCTCCTCCTCCTCCTCCTCCTCCTCCCTCCTCCTCCTCCCTCCTCCTCCTCCTCCTCCTCCTCCTCCTCCTCCTCCTCCTCCTCCTCCTCCCGCCCATCTGCCACGCTGGCTGTGGCTGTCTCTGTGGCGCAGGCCGGCGGCGCCCCGAAGCTTCCCGCTGCCGCGGCGGCGGCGGGAACGGGAACGGGAAGGGCGAGGCCGGCGCGAGCCGGCCGCGCGCCCCGTCCCTCCTGCCGTCGCTGCGGCGGCAAGGCACGGGGGTGGGGGAGGAGGAGGAGGAGGAGGAGGAGGAGGAGGAGGAGGAGGAGGAGGAGGAGGAGGAGGAGGAGGAGGAGGAGAGAGGAGGAGGAGGAGAGGAGGCGGAGGAGGAGGAGGAGGAGGAGGAGAGGAGGAGGAGGAGGAGGAGCAGGAGCAGGAGCAGGAGGAGGAGGCGGGCGGAGGAGGAGGAGGCGGAGGGCGGAGGAGGGGGAGAAGGAGGGAGGAGGAGGAGGAGGCAGGTGGGGCACGGGCACGGGGGAGGGGAGGCGAGGCAGGTGGCGCCTCGAGCTTCGGGCCGTCGGGGCGGCAGGCGCGGGAGGGCGGGGCGGCTCCTGCCATCGCTCGGACGTCCCTTCCCCGTGCATGTGTCGGTGTCGTGCGTGCTTTTTTGGCTCGATGGTCAAGGATGCTGCTCGGTGGCCGTCGCCGAGAGAAGATGCACACGCCCGAACGATGCCAAGGGCTGGCGGGTGCCTGGCACTTCGCGCCCACGTCGCGGGCGCCCGCGGGCGCTGCTGCTGATCTGCTCCCTCCTCGCGGTTTGCCAGTGGCCACCCCGTGATCTCGTCCCCCCCCCAAAAGCTCATGAGGCCCAGCGAGGATGCCATTTGGTCCTGGGACTTCCGCATCACCTCGAGCTGAAGCTTGAGCTGTTGCGTTCTCTCCAGATGCTCGAACTCTCTTGCTTGGCTTCCAGAGGCCCGAGCTTCTGTTCCTGCGGACGTCTCCACATCTGCCTCGCGTGCTGCCTCGCATGAAAAATACCTGCTCTGTCTGGTTCAGAACCTCTCTGGTCGAAGCGGCGTCTGCTTCTACGTTCTCGCGGCTATGGGCGCCGCCGCTCTGTCCGCCAGCGTTATGTCCGCCAGCGTCCTGTCCCTGTCCGACGCCGTCGCAAGCCGCTGTCCGCGGCGTCCTCCTCTGTCCTATTGTAGTCGCACCCATGTGGTTTAGCGCCCCCCCCCCTTCGCCTCCTCCGCGACTTCCCCTTTCTCCGCGCCTTGCTTTCTCCGCCCGGCAAGGTCGGGTTTGCTCCTGCCGGGCCCCGTCTGCCCGCTCGCCGCGGGGCGGGGCGGGAGATGGCGTTCCTCCCGCGGGCGCGCCAATCCAAGTTCTATACGTTTCCATTTCTCATTGCGCCGGCCTTGCAAACGTGCTGCAGAGGATTTCTGCGTGGATTTCTGAACGGACTTTTGCCCGAAGCGGCGAGCGAAAAACGAAGTGATTTTCGCGTGGATTCTTTCTGGCCTTCATTCCTGGCCCCAGGAAACCGCACGACATTCACCTCGAATCCGGAGCCAAATTCTCCCGGACACTCCGGGCCCACCCCATCGTTTTCCGAACGAAATCCGCTCTGCGACGTTGGCGCCATGACATATCTTTCTTGCCTCGTAGAGCCCATGGCGCGGGCCGTCGACTCAACTGCGCGCCGCCCCTCGAGTCGGTCGACCCCCCGTCGTCGCCGGCGCAGGCGGCCCCGAATGCCACCGCCATCGCGCCCGCGCGTTCCCGCGGATGCCTCGCCCGCTGCCGATGCCATCCAGTCCGTCTGACTCCGGGGGCCGTCTCGCGCCCGTCGATTCCCCGGCGCTGGGTGACCTGCGCGCGCTCGGTGCATCTCGCCGCCCCGCCCCCCTCGCCCGGCCCATCGCCCCTCCTGCAAGCGCGCGGAGGTAATTGCCACCGCCAGAGCCAGCGGCGCACGCCGCGTCGCCGCGACTGCAGATGCCGCCGGGCCGCTGAGGAGGCCGAGCAAGGCCCCTGTCGCAAAGGCCTGGAACATTGGGCGATTGATCGGCCGTGGCGCGCTGCTACTCCCAAGCGCGCAACCCTGCCTCCACGCTAACTTAAGTTGCCGCCACCCGCCTGGCATTCTCTCCGGCGATGGCAAGTTCCGCCGGGGGGCAGGGCCCTGGCACCATCGTGTCCCTGAGAGCCCCCCCCTTGCGGCGACTTGCCCCTGCGGGCGCCGCTTGCGGCGCAGCGGCTGCCTGCCCCCTGTGGCCGAGGAGCCAATTGACCTCGTTGCCGCTGGGCCCCCGGGCGCCCGTCTGAATCGCATGCGCTAGCCGATCGGTGGCTCCGCTTAGTTCTCCCCCGCCGGTCTAGCAGCGACTCCTTGCCCGGTTGCTTCCGCTTCGCAATGTCATCCGTGAATGCGTTCATGCTGATGCCGCGCGTCTGTCCGTCCGCTGAGATGGTGGCGTCGCGCAGTTTCTGCAGCGGGTCGACCCCTTCGCCCCCGTGCCGTTCGTCTACGCAAGTACCGCGGCAATCGTTGAACCATCTGGGGGCGAGGGCGGATTCCGTCTGACTGCATCGCCGTCCGCAGCTGTCAAGGTGAGCGTCGTGCTCTTCTCGTGCTGGCGCCCTTATGTTTTGTCTGATTCTGCTGATGTGCCCCGCGCCGCCGTTCTTAATGGTGACCGTTGCGCGGGGTCGAACGCGGCGGCGCCGTCGCTGTTCGCGATGCGACTCGCCCCTCCCGGCTGCAATCCCCAGTGCCCAGCGCGGGCGCCAAGTGCGGCATGCCCTCTGGAACTGCGAGGGGGCCCTCCCTGCGCCCAGCGAAGATGCGTCCTCGGATCGCCCCCCCCCCCCGTAACACCGCGCGCGGCGCCATGCCGGCGCCGCGACGTGGACGCATGGTACTTGTTCCTGCGACGGAAGCCTTTCCTCTGTTGTGGATGCCGTCGACCTGCGCCGGCCCAGCGGCGTTGCTTGGCTTGTCCGACACGTCGCAAGGATGCCGCGCAGAATGCTCCGCGCCACCTTCGTGGCTCCTCGGTCAAAGTTGGCCGCGCCCAGTCTCGCGGTGCCGGCCCCCCCCGCGGCGCACGCATGTTTCTCTCTCGCCTTCCCCATTTTGGGGCCCCATCGGCCTGCCCCCGCTTCGCTTCCCATCGCCCGCCCCGTGCGTCGCGCCATTGTCCTCCCCTTCTCGAATCTTCCGCGAGTGGCGTAGTGCTCGACCTCTTCTTCGTCCCGTCGCCCCCCTGCTCTGCTGATGGTCCTTTTGTCGCATACATCGCGCTCCGTTGCGTCGGCGATCCGATGCTCGCCGCGGGGTCAAGCAGCACCCGAATCATCTCCGTCGGACGCGGGGAGGGCGCGGGCAGGCTTGCCGCCGTCGTCGCTTCGCCGCCCCTCTGCGAGATACTATCATGTGCTCTTTGTCCTGTTCCACCTGGCCTAGAAGATCCTGGCCCTCTGGGAGCGGCATGACCTGCGCAACTGTTTCTTCGCGCCCTCGGGGCTTCCCTAAATCTCGATTGCTCCGAGTCCTCCGCCGAGACATTCTGCGCGCAGCTCCCCCGCTCAGGCTTCCCGGCCCCGGTGGGTAGTGGCAGCGAAGTAATGCCTAGTCTGGGGCCCTTCCCATGTCTATTTCATTGTGTCCGGAGTTGGGGCGTGTCCGAGAAGTTATTGCGTTGGTGTGTGTTGCCCAATCTGCTCGACGATCTTGGTTCTCCTGGACCCCTCATGTTGTGCTCTCGTCTGTTTCAGAACTGTCTTAACCTCCTTCAGTTTCTCGCGCGCCCTGTCGTACTCCTCGTTACTGCTCCCTCCAGCGGTTCCACTCTTCGTTCTCGCACTTCGCAAGTGAGCTCATCCAATGGCGCTTGTTCGGGGGATTTGCTGACCGTCTCGCTGCCTGCCCGTGCTGCCCCCCAGCAACATCAGCCGTCGGTCGCCAGCAGCACGTCCCACTCTATACTGACCCCCCCCCAGCTTCTCCTCGATCAGGGCGAACAGCTCGTTCATATTGTCTCCTTCCTGAGACAAGTCATCAAGGCGTCCGTGACTAGGTTGAATGTGCTCTCTGCTGGTCTGTGGACACTAAGGACGTATGTTAGTGACAATTCCAATAGAAGTCCCATCAGCACTTGGTCACTGAGACCCCTGGATCTTTCGTACACCTGTTCCTTCTTCCCCGCACATCCGACTACCTACCAGACCACCCCAACCCAACCCGAAGACCCCAATTTCGGGTTGGGGGGGGTACGGGTTCCATATGTGTTTTTCAATGTTCCCCGACCCCCCCCCCACTGGAAATGGAGGGCAAATTGAAGCCTTCGGGTTGGGTTGGGGTGGTTTGGTGGGTGGTGAACATCTGAGCGCGTTACTAGTTCCGCTGCTCCGGAGGAGGACTGCTGCGTGATCGATTCTTGATGGCGGGCCCTGAGTACCAAAGCACGTCGGTGCTACGCCCTCCGTCGTCGTAGCTATTGCCGGGCCGCGCACCGCACGCAGTCTGCGAAACGATGGGCCGATCGCATCATCCAATGTTGGCTGTGATCCTCCTAGATTCCTTCCAGCGTTGCGCGCCACGGTTCCGTCACACGCTCTCTTCATCCAAGGGTCGTGATTGACACCCCCTCCGACCCCCAATCTGTCCAGATCCTCCACCCGAGCCGCCCAACTAACAGTTACCGGTGAGTGTGGTTGCATGTGTACGGGGGCGGAGCAGCAGGAAAAGAACGCGCAATCTATCTTGCTGCTACGTGTTCGAATGCCTCATGCCGCTCCCAGAAGCCCTGCTGGTTGTAGAACTAGCATCATGAAGGCAATTTGTGGTATCATTTTGCTGGCCAGCGCAGCCGTCCCACAGGATTTATCTATCATGCACCCGATGTTTCCTCCCATCTTAAAGTCCGAGTGGTGCGGCAGTGCCCCCTTCGTAAGTTGCTCGTCCCCGCTCCACTGCGCAGTTCAGACTAGTAGTACCACGTCCCACCAGTTCAGCTCCCAACTGGTATATTCCAGTCTTTCGTCGCTGTTCGCTGCCAGTGGGTTATAATCGCATTCTGCACTGGTAGAACATGCGGTACAAACAAAAAGAAAACTCATGCAGGGGTCTCTCCCTCCTGCCCTGTGATCTGGGGCGGGTCCCTATATTGTCAGCTGGGTGCAATTGTGCAGTGTACGTCGTCTTTCGAGAATCTGAGCTTCGAAATACTGGCTAGAGGAGGAGGAGGAAGAGGAGGAGGAGGACGAAGAGAAGAGAAGTAGGACGGAGGAGGAAGGCGGCGGCTGCGAAACGGTGTCGGGCTGAAGGACGAGGAGGGAGGAGGACGAGGAGCGCAAGTAGCGTGAAGCGCAGCTGGTGCTGAATGGCAGCCCGTGCTGCTCTGGATAAATTGACATATGTAACGGCACTCTGTGAAAGGGCTGGCGCTCTCCACTTCAGAACCCCAAGTTGGCTTGAAGAAGGCCCCAGGAAGCTGCCAGACGCCGCTAGAGGCCCGAGGAAGCCGCTAGACGGCCCAAGAGGTTCAGCACATGATGCCTCCAAGCAAGAGATCCTCAAGAGGCTCCCAAGAGGCCCCGAAGATACCCCGAGAAGGCCCCCAAGAGGCCCCACATGCCTATTACAACGGCTGGGGGAGCACGCAATCCAAACGCTTGCTCAAATTCTCCCCAACGGTCAAACATATAGGCGGTTCCCCAAAGGCAGGGGGCGGCGGTGACTCGCCGTAGGCGTTTTCGATCCGTCGCCCCCTAATGCTTGCAAGAAGGGTGCGCGGCCTGCCAAGTTTTGTAACTTGGCTGGCCCTTCCAAAGGCTCTTGGCACCTAACATCAAGAACCCAAACAGCTCGCCTCCGAGCCATCCGAGAAGGGAAAGTGTGGCCCTCACGCCGGGCCCAGACAGCCCAAGACGGTCACGCGTGGCTTCCGAGGTGGCACGAGCAGCCCGAGAGAAAGCCCCCCAAATCCGCCCCAGATGCCTCCAAGACGGCTGAGATGGCCGGAGAGGGGAGGAGGAGGAGGAAGAGGGAGGGAGGGAGGGAGGGAGGGAGGGAGGGAGGAGGGAGGGAGGGAGGGAGGGGAGGGAGGGAGGGGGGGGAGGGAGAGGGAGGGAGGGAGGGGAGGGAGGGGAGGGGGAGGAGGAGGGAGGCCCGAGGGGGCCCAGGGCCGCCCGAAGAGAAGCCCGAGCTCGCGAGCGCGGGGCGCCCCTCTGGGGTTGTGGATGCCACGACGCTGGACACTCCAACAACCCTATCCTTGGATTCAAGATGTGCTCCTCCTTCTCTTTCTTCTCCTCCTCCTCCTCCCCCTCCTCCCTCCTCCTCCTCCTCCTCCTCCTCCTCCTCCTCATCCTCCTCCTCCACCTCTCCTCCTCCCCTAACAATCCTATCCTTGGGTTCAAGATGTGCTTCAGTGTGTAAAACATGCTCTATAAACCTGTTTCAAGCATGTGCTCACCTCTTTGAAACATGTTTGAGACATGGCTTAGACATCTGGCAATAATTTGGCAGCACGCTTCCTCTCCATCAATCCTATCATTGGATTCAAGATGTGCTTCAACGTGTAAGGTGGGAGGACGATGAAGAACAAAAAGGAGGGGGGAACGATTAGAAAAACAGTTTCCCACACCGGGGGGGGGACGCTCAGAAGCAGGGCTCGCCTGTGTGGTGTTTCGTCACCGGGGGGGGCGCGCGCCCGAGGACGGCGGGGGGGGACGATGAAAAAAATAGTTTCCCAGCCCGGGGCTGGTGTTTCTAATCATCATCCCTGTCGCCGCCGCGTGAACACGACCCCCGGTCATTTTTTAATCATCACCCTCCATTAAAACATGCTCTAAACCTGTTTCAAGCATGTGCTCACATCTTTGAAACATGTTTGAAACATGGTTTAGACATCTGGCAATCATTTGGCAGCATGCTTCCTCTCCATTAGTCGACTTCCACAACTCTGGGGGTCGCTGGACGAAGAAATACCCCGGCCGGACCCCAGGCGCAACCTGGGCGGCCCGGGGGGAAGTGGGGGGCCACGGCTGCCGGAACTCCCGGGGCGGTCTTCGGGGCCCTCAGGATCGCCTCAGGAGCTCCCCAAGAGAGCCCAAGGGAGCTCCAAGAGGGCCCCAGACTCGGGATGAATGGGTGGCAGACCTCGAGATGGCCTGAGAGCGATCCCCCCAAGAGATCCTCAAGATGGTCGCAGGCCCAAGATGCCCTCCCAAAGGTTAAGGCTCTGTGATGTCCCTCAGGTTTTGGAAACATTTTGGCGTCACCGCCTTGTTCGGGCTTCCGACTGCCCAAGACGGCCCAAGAGGCCCCAGGATCGCCCCAAGGCAGCCGAAGAGGCTCACAGGGCGGCCCCAAGACGGTCCCAGAGGGCCCAAAAGCGGCCCAAACGGCTTCCCAAGAGAGCTCCAGAATAAGGACGTCGAGGGGGGGACCGTAGCGACAGACAAGGAAGGCCCTGACGACCTACCAGACCACCCCAACCCAACCCGAAGACCCGAATTTCGGGTTGGGGGGGTAAGGGTTCCACATGTGTTTTTTTCTATTTTTCCCGACCCCCCCCCCCACTAGAAATCGAGGGTAAATCTGAGCCTTCGGGTTGGGTTGGGGTGGTTTGGTGGGTGGTGAGGCCCAGAACCCAGACCTCCTGGCGTCGTGAAAAAATCACGACGGGCGCCCCAGCGCGCGGGAGCGCCGACGCCCGCGGCCGACCATCCCCACCGCGAGACCGCCTCGGGGTCCGCCGGCTGGGTGAGACGGGCAGCTGCCCTGAGATCCTGGTGTTCCGAATGTTTCGAGCTGGGCGTTTTCGCTTTTTTTGTTCGGGCCCCGGGACCCTCACAGAGCGATCTGGCTCGAAAGGCAGAAAGATGGTGTCTAGGGCTCCGGGCGTGTTTTTTTACAACGTTGCACTCTTCTCGCCACGTCAGATCTCAGGAGGCCAAAAGGTACCGGTATCGCTCGTACTCCCCGAACCTCTCCCGGGGTGCGTTCTGACCAGGATTTCGAAGCCAATCTGGCAGTGGCAACGAGGGCCTCCGGGGAGACCGACAAAGGGCAAAGCGGGCGAAGGGTAGCGGTATCGGCACCTCTTCCTCCTCTGAGCTGAGTAGCCGTCAGCCGCGGCGGCTGGCGAGCTGTTGGGTGGCGCGGGACGGGGGCGCCGCCGTGCGAGGTAGCGGGAGGAGGAGGAGGAGGAGGAGGAGGAGGAGGAGGAGGAGGAGGAGGAGGAGGAGGAGGAGCGCACGTAACTCATGAGGGCATGGTTACGTCATCGACTGGCGCACATGGCCAGCTTAGTGGCACGCAAGAGCCTCAGGTGGGCCTCAAGGTCGCCACAACGGGAGGGCGAGGCCTCATGCTCTGCTTTGAGCTTGTGGTAGAAGTGAAAACCTAGCACGACTAGGCGATGAGTGGTCTCGCGGGTGACCTGCGGATCATAATCAGCATCGAGGCCGAGGCCGAGACGCGCCAGGGGGCATGAGGGGAGGAAGAGCCTCGGACGGGCGAGGAGGTGGAGGAGACGAGGGCAGGACAGGTAATGAGGCCAGCGATCGAGACCGCCCTCGCACCCTAACAGGCAGCGGCGCCGGCCCAGAACGGGCATACGACCTGAGGTGGCCCATCCCCCTGCGAGAGTCTTGACGTGGGCCCAAGCCCAGCCGGGCCAGGACCGGGAGAGCACACCCCGGAGCAGGGCCCACCGATGGGCCATATCCCCCAACGGGAGAAGGGGCACCTCAGGGAGCCAGGCCCTCAACCTTCGAAGGAAGAGAAGGGGGGAGAGCGTCGGGGAAAGCGAGGCGGGCGAGGGCCCGGGCGAAGGCACGCCGGGGCCTCGGACGGCGAGAGGCGATCGCAGCGGCGGCCACTTCCTCCGTGCCAGCAGAGACGGCATCGCGTAGCTGATCTAAGCGAAGCGAATAGCGCGGCACACAATCCAGGGCCGAAGCGAGAAACTGAGCGATACTCTGTTGCCGCTGCCAACATGGAGGGCTCCATTCCTGGCGAATGTATCTGACCAGCGGCCCATGCCACACTGCAAATTCCCCTAGATCGTAAGAAAGTGTCCGAACCCTGGTGCCATAGGTGTGAGCCGCAAACCTCCATGCCGAGGCACAGGCAAGAACAGCCATCGACGCTGGGCCGGGACCAGGGATCCAGGCATTCAGAGACAGCAGCTCGGATCGTTTGAACGTGTTCGGGGGCAGCCGAAGCAACTTATGAACAAGCCAGGGCTCCTTGGAAAGGAGGGAAGGGGGGAGGGGAAAAAACTGACAGAGGTAGGAGAGGACGGAGAGGATCGAGGAATTGTAGGAGCGGCAAGAGGCCTCCGACGGCGACCGAGTTGCTGCAAGAAGACGGGTCCGGAAGCACAGTTTTGATGCCGCCGCCTCCCACTGTGCCTCGAGGGTGGCAGCAGGACCAAACAGGATGCCGAGCGCGGGGCCGACGAGGACGCAACGTCAGCGACAGGATAGCGTGGTCGCTCAAGTGCCAGTCGGCGAGCCGGGTTGCCTCCTGATGCACGGTTAGAGACGTTTCCGTTTCCAGGAGGAAGGCAGGTGAAAGCGAGACGAATGCCCTGTCGAGCGTGCTGCAAGTCTCCGTGTGACGACAGTAGTGAGTCGGCAGCGTTGAGGTGATCTCCACCACCCCGTGGTCGAACAGAGCTCTCCAAAATGGCTGATGATGTTGACCACGGTCCTCCACGTGTCGACGAGCCGTAGGACGAAGAAGGGAATCAGGGGCCACGTCGGAGACGTTGAAGTCGCCCAATGAGAAGAAAACGCGGTGACGCTCGTCAGCAGCAGCCCATCGCGTGCAAGTGTGCCACAACCGACGAACAAGCTGTCGATGAGCAGGGGAAAGATCATGATTGTGAACGTTGAGGAGACGAACTTCCTGATCGTGTCCGCGAATGTGCAGTCCGAGGACTCGGCCGTCAACCAAACGTTCGAGGGTAAACGTAGGGAGCAACCCAGGCGGTAGCCGATGAAGCTGGTCCTGACTGTACCAGGGAACGAGAATGGCAACGCCACCACACCCAGGGGAGTCAGAACCGCTGAAAAAAGTCTTGTACTCGTACGGGCACTGCCGGAGAAGGAGTTCAATGTCATGGACAGAGCCATGCACTTCCTGGAGTAGTATGATAGCCCTAGCTTTTAAAAATCTTTCCAATCTCGCCATCTTGGAGCGTCGTGGAGAAGAGCGCTGGCAGCACAAACCACGCGCATTCCACGTGATGACCTGCAACTGGTCAGAAGGACGAGGAGCTTCCAGAGACGAAATAAGCCAAGGGCGGCCCCAGTGGTTAGGACCACGACCAACTGCTGGTGTCGTAGCCCGCGTAGGCGCGCTGGAAAGCGCTGTCGATGGCCTCCCGGTCGAGGTTGAGCTGAGCCACCACCACCTGGTTCCACAGGAGACGGGATGGCTCCGTGGCCCCGCGCGCGCCCACCTCCACCACTGGCTGTCCATCTGCTTGCACAAGCCCTCGGGGGCGAATGGCGCTCCAGGTGAGATTCGGGGCCTTCTCGGCGCAGATGGCAGCCAGTCGCTTGGACTGCTGCTCGCGGCGGATCTGCTTGGGGGCCTTGTCAGGACCGACGAAGAGGGGGCCCGTAGAGCCATTGACGTAGACTGGCTCGAAGCGGCGCCAACGGCCACCAGGAAGACGCAGAGCTTTTGCCAACTCCACCGCCTTGGAAACACCGGCAGGCCCGCCCTTGACCTCCAGTGCGAAGCGGCGGGAGGGGGCGTCACCGTGGACGATGATGTCGTCGCGACTGATGTGGAGGCGGATATCCACTCGTCAAGCGTCTGTGAGACCCGGTCGGGGGCGACGTCGTGCTTGGCGTTGATGGTGAAAACGTTCGGGTAGGCGTCGCGGTCGAACTCGGCAAGACGCGACAAATCGATAGCAGAGGCCTGCTGTTCTCCCAAAGCCAGCCGCTCGTTAAGCCGATTGACGGAGGCTCGAAGATCACGTGCTTCATCGTCAAGCCGCTGTTGCTGCTGCTGGAGTGCACGGATGTCGCCATCGTGGCCGTCGACGCGGCGGATCGTGGGCTCGAAGTGCTGCTGCAACTGAGATATAATGGTGCCCTGCACTGCAACCATCGTGTTCTGGACCACGGTCTGCACCTGTGACGAGATGGTGGAGGTGTGGGCCTGGATCTGGTCGGCGACCATCCGCGAGAGATCTTGGAAGTTGAGGCCCGGCGAGGGGCCTCCAGCAGCCGCACCAGGGGCCAGAGCAGGAGGCACCTGCGCGGGTCCAGCAGCCGAGCGAGGAGGCGCACGAGCCGGAGGAGCGCCAAGACCAGCGGCAGACGCAGCCCATGGGTCGTGCCCACTTGGCGTCGAAGACTGGCGGTTGTGAGTGGCGGCCATCTCCTGCGAAGGGAACGTCGGCGCCGCATCAAGGGCCTCCAACTCCGAAGTGGAGAGGCCGGTGTGGGCGGCGACAGCGGACGATCCGCCAGCCATCCCCGAGGAAGCGCGGCCGGGGTCACGAGCGCCCTGGCCCCAGCCGCCCGGCTGCCGCCCGGCTGCCGTAGCCATTTTGGCTCAAGTCGGATGAACGGTACTGTGTACCTAGATTCCGACTGAGGGCCAAAACGGCCCTCGTAACGTTTGAGCGCTCAAGCTCCATCACTTCAATCCCAGGCCGAGGGACCTCATCCCTCCACTTCTTCCACATCGGCTCTTCCCGCCTGTGCATTCGCTCCCGTTGCATGCGATGGTGCCTGCTGGCGGCGGCAAGCGCGGCGGCACACGTGCTAATGGCGGTGGCGACTCAAGCCAGTCTTCCTCCGACCGCAGCACCTCCCGCAGCGAACATCGTCGTGAGGAGGAGGAGGAGGAGGAGGAGGAGGAGGAGGAGGAGGAGGAGGAGGAGGAGGAGGAGGAGGAGGAGGAGGAGGAGGAGGAGGAGGAGGAGGAGGAGGAGAAGGAGGAGGAGGAGGAGGAGGAGGAGGGGGAGGAGGAGGAGGATGCGGAGGAGGAGGAGCAACAGGACGCGCCGGGGCGAGGCGCTGCGCCAAGTCGCCCGAGGCCGCCGGCCTTCTCCGTGCGGCCGCCTCGGCGGCCCCACGGCTGGGTGGGGGGAGCGGCGCCGGGGAGGTGGAGCATGACGAACCAACAACACACACCCATACCCATAGAGGGGTCGGAGAGGGCTATGGGTGCGTGCTGTCGGATTGGGGGCCCCCGCTCGAACGGGAGCGTTCCCCAGGGTCCGACAACCCGCACCCATACCCACAGCCAGTCCTCCGCCCAACGACCCCCCTCTGGGTATGGGTGTGTGTTGCTCGCTCGTCAGGACAAGCCGCAGCGAAGAGCTGGGCGATCCCTGAGATCCTTTTTGCCAGCCCAGCATTTGCGCCTTTCGTCGGGGCCCGGGGCCCTCGCGGGTCGACGCGGCTCGGAGGACGACGCGGAAGGGCGAGGTCCAGAACTGCGGGCGTGATTGTTTACGAAGTCTTTAAATCTCAGCCGCAGCGAAAAGCTGGGCGACAGCAGGGCGGAGCAGATCAGAGCGACAGGCAAGGTTCCAAACGGATGCATCCTTCGATCACACTGTTGTCCTCATCCATATATCTCGGAGACACTGCGTGTCTTCCATCTGCGGCGTAGTCTGGGTCAATTGCACCCCCCGCCCGTTCCTCGTGATTACTGCGCCGGATGACGTTCCAATGTTTCGAATCGGTTTCGCTCTTCGGTTGTGTAGAAATGGTTGTGCTTGTGGGACCGAATCGTGCGGAGCGCATCAGGTGGGAATCTATAAGACTTCTTGAAGGCTTCGTACTGATCCGCGTATCCCTTCTGGGAGCCAACGTTCTGCGTCCTCAGAACAAAATTGGGGACATGCTGCTTCATGATTTCCTGCCAATAGCCGATGTCTTCCAAGCGCAGCACGAGAACCGATACGTTTGTCGCAGCATTATGTGCAAGGAGTTGGTGCCCGTCGAAATCGAACTGCTGCTCCATCACATCTACACCTGTGAGTTCCGCCAGAGTCTTCCAATGGTCGCTGAATGCGGACGGGCCTATACGTTTGGGGAATTCTTCAACCAGCTGCGCAACACTCGCTTGACCCAATTTCAGGCCTGGGTAGAATCCATCCTCCAGGAGTTGAAAAAACAAAGACTTCTGCTGGTCAATTGGGTTGCGCACGATGGATATAACCAACGTATTGCTTCCAGGCGGCAGCTTCTGCATGTAATCATTGGCAACCTTTGCATAATGCACTTTAACGATCGGAGGGTACGATATAAGAGTACCGGGCACGTATGTAGCATTGAGGCTCGCCTTCATGGTTTCTGAACCAACTTTGGCCATCGCAAACAACATGATGTGATCATATCCGCCATTGTGGACGTGCGCATCCGTGTGAATGGAAGAGGTATGCAATGCCTCAAGACATTGCGCAACGGACAATACTAGACACAACATATACCAAGGTGTTGAAAGCGTCGTCATGTCTCGAGAATTTGTGAGTCGTGAAGAAGTCTGCTCGCTGGCGATGAACACGGATGTGACAGACGTGATGCGCGGTTTATGTGAACCGAATGCTCACGTAGGTGAAGGAAGTAAACGGACAGAACGGAAATAGCCTTGAGCCGAGTCTGCTCACGGATGTGAATCATGGTTTTTGCAAATGAGCAAGACGAGGACTAGGATGAATACGAGGCGGAAGAGTGGGTATAAAGAGCATGAGATCAGGACAAGGGAAGCGACGAGGAACGAAAAAGAAACGCAACTGCGAGAAACATTGAATAGTAGAAAATGAGAAACACGCCAATGGCGGATGTACATTCGGCATGCGCCCGCGAGAGCGTGGGCAACCCAGACAAGCTCGATATCCCGTCCGGATTCCAGATAAACTATCGGGGCTCCAAGGTATGCCCTGAAGCATTCTGGATAAGCTCGGGGGCTTCTCCGGACAAGAAGCTCTGGAGTTCCCGAGTCCCCCAGATATGGGACGCACCAAGACATACTAGTACCACATGTCCTCCTTGGAGGCGCGCGTCCGACCCGAACATCTAGTATATCCATCTTGTAGTACATCGTTTCCCGAGCGGTGTGGCCAGGAAACGCCCGCCACGACGCATATTCCATGAGATTTCTCGGTGCGCACGTCGCCTCTGGGAGGGCGACGCACACATGGCTGATTCTGGAAACCCTGAGTCCAAAAAAATGTGTTCATTTCTTGGGTGTTTTTGTTTGCTTCCGCCACCTTCCGCCGCCCTTCCGCCGGCTTCCGCCGGCGGAGGCGGCCTCGTTTTACTTGCGCCGACCTGCCGCCGCCTTCCGCGGCGAAAGAGATGACAGCCCCTTCGATCCTCGACGGCAAGGCCATGTTTGGAACGCCTCACATCGTACTAGTATCTTGGGGTGACGCCGAAGATCACCTCTCGGGCGCCGTGTGCAACACGACTCCCGCACAGGAAAGTCTCGGGAACTTCTCTCGCGCGCGCCTGCGCTCCGGGTGCGGGGCATTGCGTGGCGGGCCGAAGGTGGTCCTTCGACTATCCAAGATAAGCTCTTCTCGGACGGACTGGGCTGGGGAGGAGTCCGGAAAACCAAGGGAGGAGACCAGAGAGTCCGAGGGGCCCCAGGGTTCCCCTCTCAGCCCATTCAGCATCTGAGCCCAATCGGCCGCCGAATGGACCCAAGATCGAGCCCATTCGGCGACGGAGCCCAGGAGGACCCCAACATCGCCCAAGAGGCTCCCAAGTGGGCCCCAAGGAGGCCCTAAAGCGCTCCAGGAGTGCACTAAGACCGCCCAGAGAGGCCCTCAAGACGGCCTCCGAAGGCGTCACAAGAGCCAAGGGCCACCAAAGATGGCCCTAGAAACCCCAAGAGGCCCCGGGAGGCATCCAAGAGGGGTTTAAGAGGCCCTCCAGGATAGCACGAGGAGGCAAACATCGTTTGTTTCCACTGCGTGTCTGTAGGATCTTGAAGTTATCTCCTGTTTGGACCTCCGATCGCCCAAGACGGCCAAAGAGGCCTGCAAGATAGCTCCAAGACGGCCCGCGAGGCTCCCAGGAGGGCCCCGCATCGGCCCAAGAGGACCCCAGGGTCGTCCAAGAGGCTCCCAAGTGGGCCCCAGAGCGACCCGGAAGCGCTCGGGGACGGCACTGAGGCGGCCCAGGGAGGCCCTCAAGACGGCCTCCGAAGACGCCGGGCGGGCCGAGGGCCACCAAAGATGGCCCAAGAAGCCCCAGGAGGCATCCAAAAGTGCGACATATATTTTTTCAGAAGCCAGCATGCCAGATCCGTCTCTGCCGTGGTCCTATCCTGCACAAGCAATCCAAGTGCAGGAGAATACAGTCGGGGCCCTGACCTAAGGAACCCCAAAGAAGGAACGAGGCCCCTTGTTTCCATGAGTCCAGCTTCGATCTCCGATCGAAAACATCAGGAAAACCTGGGGCAAGCTGCGAAACACTGCAGGAACGCGGAGCCCCTCCCCAACGAAAAGGGTTCCTGCTTCAGGGCCCCGACTGTAGTGCATCTCTTGAGTGGCGCGAGCAGCCACGCAGCAATCACGGCATGCCTTTGCCGATCATGCGCAGTGGCTCCGCAACGCGTCGACCCTCCTCAAAACGCGTCTCCTTCCCCCTGTGGAGGCGTAGCCTGGCCATCGCTCGGACGTCCATCGCCTGTGTTTTTTTCGGTTTCGTGCGTGGTTTTTTTTCGCGAAGTGATCGGGGATGCTCCTCGATGGTCCCCGCCGAAGGAAAAATGCACACGTCCGAGCGATGCCAAGTAACTTTCAGTGCGAATTGGGCGCGGGGAAGTGTCTGCATGCTATGCGGTGGCATGTCCGCGTTGGCAAGAATGCCCCCTGGACGAATGATAATCCTCGCCGCCCATCGCTTATCCGACCACGACCAAACCCAGGGGAACGGAGTCACACTAGACTTAACTCTGGCTCTCACACTACCTGTGCGAGCTCACGCGCAGACTGGTCCAAAAATATGTTATTTGATTCAGATTGGCGCCAGGGGGCGCCGGCTAGTAAGCGCCTCCCTGTGCACACATGTGCCTGTGCGCTCGCGCACGTCGGACGCGCTGCCGCGAGCTGCCAGCAGACTATACGGCTGGCGCCTCGCCCTCACCGTGCTCTTCGGTGGGGGCGGCTGCGTGTAACATCACCGCATCGGAAACCCCACAAAAAGCGTTGAAGGATTCTTTCCGGCTCCTGCACGCGGACGCATCGACCTTGGCGTTCCGCTTCGCCTCGCCCCACACGTCCTTCCTCCACCTGTCCGCCGCGCCCAGGTGCTTCCGCGGGCACCCGCTCGGCAGCCACACGTAGCACCCCGCGGTCTTGGGCACCTCCGGCACCCTCGAGGCGAGGTGGGGTGGCAGCGCAGGATCCTGGCTGGGCCGCGCCGTCGGCGAGGAGCCCCCCGCCATCGACCCTGCGTCGTGCTGCAGGGCCTGCGACGGGGCCCCAGCGACGACGCCGGCGTCGGAGCGGGTGCCGGAGCCCTCCAGAACAGGCACGCCGCCCCCCTCGCTGCGGATGTGCACCACCTTCGTGTCCTCGGCCCCGCAGTAGCTGTCCCAGTAGCCCTTGCGGTCCCTGCACCCCGCCTCGTCGAGGTACTGCTCCTCGGCCCAGGTGTCGTGCCTCCACATCGAGGTCCTCATCGGCCTCGCGGGGCACCTGGAGGGCTGGCGGAAGTAGCACCCGGGCCGCGACGGGTACCCGCTGATGACTCGGAGCTCCTCCGCCTCCTCAGCGCCTCCGCCTGCGGTGGTCGAATGCTGATCCTCCTGGCTCGCAAGGCCGTCCTCGGAGGGCGACGCATGGGATCCGGCCAGGTCGTCCTGAACGCTGGTCGCGTCGTCCTGCTCGTGAGCGTTCACATGGACCGCGACGGTGTTGTGCACTCCGCACCAGTGGTCAAACACGAACTTGCGACTCTTGCACGCCGGCGTGCTCGACCTTGCATCCTTGTGCTCCTCGCCCCAGACGTCCCTCTTCCACTCGCTGCGCACGCTGAGGTTCCTCGATGGGCACCCCGTGGGCAGCCACACGTAGCAGCCTGTGTGCGTTGGCAGAGCTGGCATGCGCCCCTCGGGTGTGAGGCCCACCTCCAGCGCCTGCGACTCGTGCTCGCTGTCGTCGGCGTATGCCCTCGCACTGCCCGTGGTAAGCTTACGGGTCGGAGCCTGCGGCTGCTGAGCCTCAGTCTGTGCGGCCGTCGCGGCTTGCGGCATGTCCTCCACTGGGCCACCCGCGCTCCCGCCGCCAGACGAGAATGGCTTCGACTCCTCTGCGCCTTCCGGTGATGCCGCCTCGTCGTCGAACGCCTTCGCTGCAGCCCTTAGCGTCGCCTCCGAAGCCTTGGCGACGGCGTCTTCGTCGACGACGGCAGACTGAGGGGACTCGTGAATCGTGGCATCTTGCGGAGCCGTCTGCTCGGTAACATCCTCGTTTGCCTTCCGTGCGACACCCTGCCTCTCCGCATCCCCACCCGCCGCCTTCTGCTCGGTGGCCTCCACGGCCTTCTGCTCTACGACCGCTGGCTGCTCGACTGCCTCATCCGCAGCCTTTTGTTCGGTGGCTTCCTCGGCCTTCTGCTCCACGACCACTGCCTGCTCGACGGTCTCGTCCGCAGCCTTCTGCTCGGCGACTTCCTCAGACTTCTCCCCTGCGACGACCGGCTGATTGACGTCAGTTCCTGAAGCCTTCTGCTCGGTGGCGCCTTCGGCCCTCTCCTCCACGACCGCTGGCTGCTGAACGCCCTCGGACGCCGGCAGCTGTGCTTCCACCAACTCCGCCTCCAGATGCTCGATGGCCTCATCTGCAGCCTTCTGCTCGGCGACCTCCTCGGCCGTCTCTCCCACGACCGCTGGCGGCTCGACGGCCTCATCCGCAGCCTTCGGCTCGCTGGCCTCATCCGCAGCCGTCGGCTCGGTGGCCCCCTCGGACGGCCCCCCTGCGACCACTGGCTGATGGACGTCCTCGTCCGCAGCCTTTTGCTCGGTGGCCTCCTCGGACGGCTCCCCCGCGACCGCTGGCTGATCGACGTCCTCAGCCGCAGCCTTCTGCTCGGTGGCCTCCTCGGACTTCTCGGCGACCGCTTGCTGCTGGACGTCCTCAATCGCGCGCTCTGCCTCCGCCACCTGCGCCACTGGATGCTCCACGTCCTCATCCTCGGCCCTCTGCTCGATGGCCTCATCTGCAGCCTTCTGCTCGGCGACCTCCTCGGCCGTCTCTCCCACGACCGCTGGCGGCTCGACGGCCTCATCCGCAGCCTTCGGCTCGCTGGCCTCATCCGCAGCCGTCGGCTCGGTGGCCCCCTCGGACGGCCCCCCTACGACCACTGGCTGATGGACGTCCTCGTCCGCAGCCTTTTGCTCGGTGACCTCCTCGGACTGCTCGGCGACCGCCTGCTGCTGAGAGTCCTCAGTCGCGCGCTCTGCCTCCGCCACCTCCGCCACCAGATGCTCCACGCCCTCATCCTCGGCCCTCTGCTCGATGGCCCCCTCTGGCCATCGCTCGGACGTCGTCCATTTCCTGTGTGTTTTTTTTTCTGTTTCGTGCGTGGCTTTTTCGCCAAATGATCAAGGATGCTCCTCGATGGTCCTCGCCGAGGAAAAAACGCACACGTCCGAGCGATGCCAAGCCCTTGGCCTTCTCCTCCGCGGCCGCCGCCTGGCCGACGTCCTCCACCGCGCGCTGCGCCTCCGCCAGCTCCGCCTCCAGCCGACCCACCTCCTGCGCGTAGTCCTCGAGTATGTGATCGACTACAGACCCAGACCTCCTGGCGTCGTGAAAAAATCACGACGGGAAGTTTTTCGCTGTGTTCGGCCTCTGGGGGCCCTCACCGGGCCTCGGGAGCGTCAAAAAACGACCCGGGACGAAGAACTGGTCCCGGGGAAGGGGTCCAGACCTATGGGGGTCGACGTTGTGAAAAAATCACGACGTCGGGGGTCTGGGGAGCTGATGCACCCCAAACTTGACGATCTTCGAAAAATGCGTGGAAGGAGTGTCAGTCGAGGGAACACTCTTCGCGTCTTCCGCAGATTCGGCGAGGAAATGGCGTTTGGGGTACGGCAGGTCAGTGTCGTGCCGACTTCGGCGTTGGCTTCTGACACCGCGGGGATCGTTCAACCTTGAACGATCGGACGTTTCCGAAACGTCCACGTCGTTCCACATCGAACGATTCTGGGTCGCCCGCGGCGTTCAAAGTCGAACGCCGCTGGCGGGGTCGCCGCCGGTCGACACAACACGAACCTCGGAGGCCTGGAAATTGGCACCAACACCAAGGCAGAGGGTTGCCCCCACAGGGGGAAGATGATCCTAGATTTCCGGTGTTGGTGGCAACAGTTCGGCCACCCTTGAAGCCAAAATATTACCACCATCACCGAGATCGGGATCTTCTTCCCCCGGTGGAGGCACACCGCCAAAATTGGTGTTGGCGTCAATCTCTAGGCCTGCGAGAACCTACCGTAAATCGGTTCTGCAGAGGAAGTCCGGGAAAGGCCGCAGCGCGGCCAGCCGCGCCCGGACGCCGGCCGCGTGGGCGGCCGCCGACGCCTCCGCACCCGGCGGCGCGGGTCGAGGATTGAGGATCGAGGATCGAGGATCGAGGATCGAGGATCGAGGATCGAGGATCGAGGAACAAGGATCGAGGATCGAGGATCAAGGATCGAGGAGGAGAAGGAGGAGGAGGCGGAGGCGGCGAGTCGGCAGCGCCTCCCGAGCCTCCTCCTCCTCCTCCTCCTCCTCCTCGCTGCTGATGTGCACCACCTTCGTGTCCCCGGCCTCGCAGTATTTGTCCCAGTAGCCCTTGCGGTCCCTGCACCCCGCCGCGTCGACCCCGTGCTCCTCTCGGCGGCGAGCGAGGGAGGGAAGTGAGAAGGAGAAGGCCTTCTCAGAAGGCGGCGGGACTTCTCAGAAGCCCTCGCGCCTCCTGAGAGGTCTCCTGCGTCTTCGGGGAAGGCTCAGAACACTGATCGGAAGGCCGGGGGACTTCTGGGCCTTCTGAGAAGGCCCGCCCCTTCTCGCTTGTCCTTTTCCTCCTCCTCCTCCTCCCTCCTCCTCCTCCTCCTCCTCCTCCTCCTCCTCCTCCTCCTCCTCCTCCTCCTCCTCCTCCTCCCCCTCCTCCTCCCCCAGGCTCGCCGCCGATCCTCGGCCCAAGTGTCGTGCCTCCACATCGACGTCCTCATCGGCCTCGCGGGGCACCTGGAGGGCTGGCGGAAGTAGCACCCGGGCCGCGACGGGTACCCGCTGACGACCTGGAGCTCCTCCGCCTTCTCCACCTGAGTCGTCTGCTCGGCCTGCTTCCGCACCCCGGGCTCCTCAGCACTGCACGGAGCCGTGCAGGTGGTCTTCAAGATCTCCAGGCTGTGCAAGAACATCTGGAACTCCTCGAAGCTGGAGCTCGGGGTCAGCCCGGGGTACCACGAGGGGTTCTCGTGGATGCCCGTCTTCATGGCCCAGGTCACCTCGTTGTAGCAGATCTCGTCCTTGACTGCCGTGCGGCACCCTTCCTTCTGTGGCGCAATCCTGCAGGGCTTGGCGCACACGGCGGAGAACGCATCCAGCTTGTGCAGAAATTCCTGGAAGTCCTCAAATGTGGACGAGTTCTTGTGCAATCCAGGATACCACCATCTGTGCTGCGTGATGCCTTCCGTCATGGCCCAGCGTACCTCCTTGTAGCACTCTTCGCCCGCGACGGCGGTGTGGCATTCGTCCTCGGGCTCTGCCACCTGGCGTACCATCAATTGTACGGCGCCTACGCGGGCCGCCAAGAGCAGAGTTGCGCATACCAGCTGCGGCCGAAGTGTCATTGCTGCGGCGACGCTGGGCAAAATCTGTAGTACTGTAGCGGACTGAGCAAACACTGGCAGATCTACTGTGGATAGATCTATGGCTTGAACCGAATTTGCGACGGAAGGCATCCAAGAGTGCTTCAAGAGGCCCTCCAGGAGAGACCGAGGAGGCAAGCATCATCGATTCCCACTGGGTTTGTGTCGGATGTTGAGGTTTTCGCCTGTTTGGTCTCCGACCGCCCACGACGGCCAAAGAGGCCTCCAAGATCGTTCCAAGACGGCACGCGAGGGTCCCAAGAGGGCCCCGAATCGGTCCAAGAGGACCCCAGCATCGCCCAAGAGGCCCTCAATTGGGCCTCAAGGCGGCCCTAAAGCGCCCCAGGAAAGCACCAAGACGACCCACACGGGCCCCCAAGACGGCCTCCGCAAGCGCCAGACGAGCCAAGCGCTCCCTAAGATGGCTCAGGAGGCCTCCAAAAAGCCCCCGAGAAGCCCGAGGAAGGCCCCAAGAGGCTCATAGGAAGCACCCGGAAGGCACCTAGAAAGGGGCCCAGGAGTCCTTTGCCTCATCGTTTTCATCTTTTCCATATTCTCCTCCTCCTCCTCCTCGTCCTCGTTCTCCTCCAGCTCCCCGTCCACCTCTTCTTCCCTCATACTGCGATGACGAAGACGAGGTCGAGGCCACGCCCTTCCTAGTTCAGACCAGTCGTCGGAATTTCGCTGTTCCTACAGTCAGTCTCCTTCCTGCTACGCTGTTACACACGCACGATGGCGGGGTTTGCCGCAGGCAGCTGGATAGAATCCTACCGCAGCTGGACCCTTCTCGACCAGCATCCCAGTCGGGCACGATCCAACACTACTATCCGCCACTGTGCCTCTGGCACGAAGTGGAATGCCCCAAGGCACTGAGAGGGCTGCGCTGCTGCTGCTGCGGCCAACACTGCAAGTCTTTGCAGGCCCGGACCAGTCGGGAGGAGGAGGAGGAGGAGGAGGAGGAGGAGGAGGAGGAGGAGGAGGAGGAGGAGGAGGAGGAGGAGGAGGAGGCGGAGGAGGAGGAAGAGGAGGAGAGGAGAGGAGGAGAGGAGGAGGGGAGGGGGGGGAGGGGGGAGGGGGGAGGGGGAGGAGGAGGAGGAGGAGGAGGAGGAGGAGGAGGAGGAGGAGGAGGAGGAGGAGGAGGAGGTCTGCCGGGACGGCCTGGGGTCTGCTGGAGTCGCTCGCGTCGGCCTGCTCCGCTCAGGAGGGGCCCCCCAAAACGAGCCCGGATGGCTCCAGGAGGCCCCCAAAATGACAAGCAGGGCCCCACGTCGCCCCAAGGTCGCTCGAACACGCGCAAGCTGGCCCGAAGACGGGCAAAGACGTCTCCAGGGCAGCCACAGACGTCTCGAAGAGGCCTCCGAAGCGGGCCCCAAGAGGCAAAATTCACGGATTTGCATCCGGTTTGGGGAAGATCTTGGCGTTCTCGCCTTCTCGGCTTCCCGGCGCTCCAAGACGTCCCAAGAAGCCCCCAAGACCATCCTAACCCAGTCCAAGATGCCTCCAGGAGGGCCGCAAGACGGCCTAAGAACGCCCCAAGACTGCCCAAGTGGCGCCCAAGACGGCCCAGAAGGGCCCCAAGACAGCCCCAAACGAGGCCCAAGAGAAGGAACACGAACCGAAAATCCGAGCCTTCCGCCCCGAGAGGCCCCCAGGAGGCCTCAAGAGGCGCCACGATCCATCTCAATTAGAATCCGACTGTAGCTAGATCCAGTTCTAATTGATTACTACTCGGGCTCGGTCCAGCTCTAATTGAATCCTACTGGGGCTCGACGCAGCCTTCCTAGCATACTACTGAGGCTCGATCGTCGTCGTCGTCGTCGTCGTCGTCGTCGTCGTCGTCGTCGTCGTCGTCGTGGACGTCGTGCAGTAGTAGTAGTCGTCGCCGTCGTCGTCGTCGTCGTCATCGTCGTCGTCGTCGCGGTCGTCGTGGTCGTCGCGGTCGTCGTGGTCGTGGTGATCGTCGTGGTCGTGGGGTCGGGGTCGTGGTCGTGGTCGTGGTCGTGGTCGTGGTCGTCGTCTGCTGCTGCTGCTGCTGCTGCTGCTGCTAACGCCATCGGCGGCGAGGAGAACGAGGCAGAGGAGGACGACAAAGGGAACGTGGGAGCAGAGGAGGGGGAGGAGGAGGACCGACCGAACGAGCGCGTGCTGTGGACGCTGGGACGGGGTGGGGGTCGAACCGACCCCCCCCCCCCGAACTGCAAGGGGTGGGGCTGGGATTCGAACCGGGGGGGGGGCCTGGATTGCAGGGGGGCGGGGGTGGGTTCGAACCGCTCCCCTCCCCTCCCTCAGTGGCAACCGGCGACGGCCACTGCCGCGCCGGCGCCGTCGGGCGACGACGACGACCACGACGACGACGACGACGACGACGACCACGACGACGACGACGACGACGACGACGACGACGACGACGACGACGACGACGACGACGACGACGACGACGACGACGACGGCGGCGGCGGCGGCGACGGCGGCGGCGGCGGCAGCGGCCGTGCCCTCCTCCCCGCTGTCGGCCCCGCCCCGCGGCGAGGGGAGGGAAGTGCTGGTCCCGCTCCCGACGGCACGGCGCGCCTCGCCTCGCCTCCTCGTTCCTCCCCGTCCTCCTCCCCTCCAGAGTCCTACGACCCCCATCCTCTCCCCTCCAGAGTTCTACGACCCCCTTGTTCCTCCTCTTCCTCCTCCCCTCCAGAGTTCTACGACCCCCCATCCTCTCCCCTCCAGAGTTCTACGACCCCCTTGTTCCTCCTCGTCCTCCTCCCCTCCAGAGTTCTACGACCCCCCATCCTCTCCCCTCCAGAGTTCTACGACCCCCTTGTTCCTCCTCGTCCTCCTCCCCTTCCAGAGTTAGCACAGCGAAGGCGTGGGCGTGTTCGCGCTCAAATCCTGACGCGGCACGCGCGCGGGCAGCACGAGCCCGATGCGGGCGAGGGCGCCTGAGGAGGTGGAAGTGAAAGGGGCCCCAGGACACACAAATAGATCCACACAACTCGAAGGATCCCCCAGATTTCTCCATCTGTTTTGAGTTTCCGCCTTCCCCCCACTTCCCATCTTTTCCCATCTCTTCCTGGGAGTGGACGAGATTCATGGTGTCTGTGTGCTTTCTCCCCTCCTGTGGGAGAGCGGGCGCGGGCTCGAAAACGGAGGAGGCTGGTGCCAGGCAGGGCAACGAGCAGCCGCACCCGGGCAGCCTCGGCACCCGGACAAAACGGCGGCGTGAGCTCTCCACCTCCTCCTCCTCCTCCTCCTCCTCCTCCTCCTCCTCCTCCTCCTCCTCCTCCTCCTCCTCCTCCTCCTCCTCCTCCTCCTCCCCCCACGACTGCTTCAGTGTGGGCCCGCATCCAGGCGGGCCTCGATGCGCGAAGCACCGCCCCGAGTTCTGGCTTGGGCTGGCGCAGCTCCTCCAGCGTCGCGACTGCTGGGTCACCGAGGCAGGCTCTGGAGCGGCGTCAGGGGTGGCACCTCGAGCCCGAGATGAGATGGCAGAACAGTGAGAGGAGAGGGAGAGACCCTGGGGGAGGAAGGCTGCGGCGAGAGCTGCAATTGCTCGCACTTCCGCCCCCGCGCACCGTCGACGCTGGGCGGCTGCTTCCGTACCGACTCGATGCTCTGTCAGCCGCCCCCTGGTGGGCGACCTGGCTAGCAGGTGTAAAGTCTCGGGCGAGAGAGTGTGCGACATGGCGGAGGGGGAGGAGGACGGAGGATGATGAGCAGGGAGGAGAGTTCCTCCCTCCTCCTCATATTCCTTCGTTCTCCTCCTCCTCCCTCCTTCTCCTCCTGCTCCTCCTCCTGCTCCTCCTTCTGCTGCTTCTCCTCCTTTTTCTCCTCCTCTTCCTCCTCTTCCTCATCATCATCATCATCATCATCATCATCATCATCATCATCATCATCATCATCATCATCATCATCATCATCATCATCATCATCATCATCATCATCAGCATCAGCATCAGCATCAGCATCATCATCAGCATCAGCATCATCATCATCATCATCATCATCATCATCATCATCATCACATCATCATCATCATGATCATCATGATCATCATGATGATCATCATCATCATCATCATCATCACATCATCACCATCACCACCATCGTCAGCATCACCATCAGCATCATCAGCAGCATCATCAGCATCATCATCAGCATCATCATCACCATCACCATGGCCACCACCACCATCATTATCATCATCATCATCATCATCATCATCATCATCATCATCATCGTAATCATATCATCATTTCATCATCGTCACCATCATCATCATATCCTCATCCCTGTCATCATCATCGTCATCAGCATCATCACCATCATCATCATCATCAACAGCAGCAGCATCATCATCATCATCGTCACCATCATCAGCATCGTCATAAGCATCATCATCGTCCTGGCATTACACGCAGATCTTATCACCTCCCCCTCCTCTTCTCCTCCTGGGGGGCAAGAGGAAGGAGCAGGTGGTGATATCTGCGTGGCCTCCATGGTGCTGAGAAGATTCGCAAGATCATCCTCAGCTGCGGCAGCCCGAGGGGAAGCTCTCACCGATGGGTGTCAAATCTTCTTCCAGGGATACTCGTCCCAAGCCGTTCTTGGTGCTGACGACGAGGGAAAAAACATGTGCAAAATACGGGCTCCACTATCAACGCGGCCCAAGGCTGCGCGAGGCAGGCGGCACGTCCAAAGTCGACGGAAACATCGTCCGCGCGCACACCTCCCACCAAAAGGGAGCCGAATAACAAGTCTCAAGTGGCACAACGGCCGACTCTCGGCCCACCCACGGGCTACCGCGCACACGCAACCACGAACAACAAGCGTGGTAAGAGGCAACATCCAGATTGACCCAGGCCCTTTCTGGAAACAACAGCAGTCGCCCCCAATAAGCTCCATGAGAGACTTGCATCCCCGCC